AAAGCTCGCGATTATACCGGATAAAGATCATTCTTCGGCTCGTCATGATCCCGCATCCAGCTGTAATGCAATTATGACCTATAGCGAGTGTTCCCGCCCAGACTATCGGGACGATTAATCGGCGAAATTGGAAATTAATTGGCGAAATAACTTCTCTCGCTTGGATTGGAATTCTCTTCAGACTCTGGCGCTGCCATTTGAACGGTTAAACCAAACGCGCAGCTCTCTCGCGCGTGGCCAAAGATCGCAAATTCAATTTGTCACGCCGCCGGTGTCTCTATCATGCTCGGCGCAATTGTCATCGTACAAAGCAATTAGCGGGAATGCTCGAGAAAAAACCGTGCGACCGCGACAAACGATGGCCGGCGAGAACCGCGTCTGCGAATTCTGTGTCAGCTGCAACGCGAGCTCTTTATTTCCTTTTATTTCGTCGTTTATTTCGGCACAATGCGCTTTAAAGTGATATCCTACTGGGTCAATTTTTTAATATGTAATATATCTCTCGAAAGGAGATTCTTGACCAAAAGGGAATCTTTTCTTGGAAAATTCTCGGAATAAATTTTTAGACTCGACACATAAATAATACATACGTTTTCTTTTGATGTGTATATCAAATATATTAAATATTTATATTAAATTATATTAAATATATTAAATATTTATGCACAATTCCTTTACAATAAGATACTAAATTGATTAATGCCGACAAAAGTTACAGGAATACATGTATGAAATAAAAGAGAAATTAAACTGCGGGTGAAACGAATTACCTGCCCAAGTGCTTGCTCCGCGGAAAAAGAGAAACGCCAGACGAATAATTGCTTTTATTCGACGATATTGAGGGCGAGAGCGACGATTATTTAATTCTTGGCTGGAAACGACGGCTACATCGATCGCGCAAACGAGATTTCGTCGGCTTTTGTTTCCTAGTGAGACTTTTACATTGAGAGAAGCTTTTGACATCGAGCATTCTGGTAGGGGGCGATCAGAGAAATTGACATCGAAAATTAATAGATACAACTGCTCATGACATGCCTCTTTGGAATTATTGTCCTCTCGTCAACCTACTTTGTCAATTTATTGTCATTTTAAAATTTTAAATTCTGTGAAAATATGTTTACGATATAAATTGAATTCGCCAAACATTCTCTCAAATAATTTAAAGAGAACTTTTTTAATCTAAGAGAAAAACGAAGATAATATATTTTAATAATCTAGATAAAGATGAGATAAAGCAATCTGAACTAGATGCTTTACCCAAATAAAAAAACACTAATTCCAATATAACTATTTGGAACACGACAAAATATGCAGTCATATGGACTTCATGCATATATACATATATTATATATATCCTGATTATCGCGTTCAAAGAACTATAATACACTGAAAAGAGTTTTTATCCGCCCGAGACAGATTTATTGTCACTTTTATCGTGCATAATACAAGATATGGCGAGAGCAAGTTTTCGCTATACTATGTTTATGGAAGTATAAATATCGTTTATGGTCGCGCGTGAAAGCTTCCTGCTTGTGGAAGCTTTGGTAATCTTCCTTGATTTTGAGCTCACGCGATAGACGGGAAACGATTATCGTGTATTTGCATTTCCCCGATGCAGTTTATTCGCTTACGTCGCGCTTAGAAATTCGGTATTCGCGTTCAAGTTTTCTTAATTCGAAATTTGCGTATAGTAAAAGCGACTGTATCTTGAATAAATTACACATGAAAAAGTCGAAACACAAATTAAAAGAAAAATTTCAGTGTTTGCGAGTCGTATTTTTTTCGCGTTATTAAAATCCGCTTTTAATTTTCGAAATAATTTTCCTCACTTTTATCGCAAGTCCATTTTTAGTTTTCCTTTTAAATAGAAAAAATTTAAATGGAAAAAATTTGCAACAAAAATTGCGAAAATAACGTCGCTTGGAAATAATTGCGAGCGAAATATTTTATTTAAATACGGCGTACTCGCAATTTTTAGATTTGTGTTATATTACACGTAAAAGTACGTCACGTCGTTTTCATTCAAGCCGCTGTGACACGCGAAAATGTGACTGGAAACGAGAAGGCGAAGAAATTGTCGCGCTCGCGCGCGCGATAGCGAATTTAGACGAGTAAATTTTCGCGTTACGCCACCACATCGTTCGCGTCGGTCTATATTTATACTACGTGGACAGGTACACGCGAGCCGACACGCCGACGATTTATCCGATAGCAAACATTGGCGCCGTTACGTCGTCGGACGCACCGGCGGTTACGGTAGCGCACGCCACAATTTTTATGCAGCAGGCACGGACCCTTTCATTTAAATTAATAGAATTTGTCTAAATAGTAGAAATCCACAATTAAAAAATGAAAGAACGAGGAAAGTTGAAACTTAATTAAATCGTCTAATTAAATTTATAAATACATGAATAAATGTCGCTATTTTACTTTTATCAAGAATAAATTTTTTTTAGTGCATATAGTTTTATTATACTGCACTTAAATTTTATTTCTGATTAAATTTTATTTCGAATAATTTAAAGAAATTTAGTGCACTTCTTGCACATGGATATATCGCGTCGCTCTACACTTGTATACGGTTGTGGAGGAAACGCGACTAACACACACGACGCACCCTCTTCTCCTCGTCAACGTGTCAATTTAACGGCTTCCTGCTCTGGCATCGAGTTTCGCTGTGTACACGCACGTTTATCGACCGAAATGTTCCGCGTCTCTTTTGTATCAAATGCGTAAGTGGTTAAAAGGAGAGATACATTGCACTGTGCATAAATAATAAAATAGTAAATAAAATGCCCAGTCAATCAAGCGGCTAATGTAATGAAGCAAAACGCGTATTTCTTTCAGGAAACGAGTCTTATGCGTCTTCTTAAAGCGTAAAAGACTAATAATATTCATGTATTGTTTTTTATCTAGCTCTGACATTTGTTCGTTGCATCTGAAATGCTTGCTATCAGAAATTTAAATTTTTATTAATAATTCCATGTATCTCTACTTATATAGCAAAGACAAACCAATTTCACCGAAAAGACTGTTGGAATTAAATATGACTTTAATCAATCTCATCCATAATAATTAGAAAATTTTATTTCCGTAAAGAAATCTACTTAATACGTAGAATTTAATGATAACAAGTAGGTTTTTTGCTTCGTGAAGGCAATGTTTTAATCGTATTTCTTCTGCATAATTACGTCTAATTGATCAGATGATCAGAGTGTATCGAAGTTCGCTCGCGCTATTACACAATCGACGAAGCGTTCAATCGAACGCAAAACGAGAAGCTTCGAGGACTCTTAACGTCCGTGCTCTTGGTTTGCATCGAGCGTAACCGTGACGTTTCTTTCACCGTTGAACTTTCACGTTTCGCCGAAAGTAAAAAAATACGTCTGCACCAACCGGCAATTAACTTATCGCCGGTGAAATTTAGCTATCGGCGATCGAGCGTCGCGAAATGCGAAAAATCCTTGTTAACGTCCGTGACACGACTCCGACACGCACGGCCACGATTTCCGATATATCAAGATGTATCGCATCATATTTTTGCGATGCATTGTACATTTTTTTCGATGTACGGTACGTATTATCTTTTGCACGCTTCTATACGAGCTTTGATATCAGCGCGAGTTATCTACTAGTCTCTAGCATTTTTTCTATGCGTCACTCTCCCTCGCATCCGTGCCGTCAGAAATTCTATACAGCTATAACGAACGCCCGCACCGCCATCCCGCGATGTCGAGTATCGCCATATAGAATTTCCTATGTTACGCATATGATATTACGCACACGCGTATAAAAACCGTTTCATTTAGTAAATAACTTTTAATCAATGGAGGAAATGTTATACGCCATTTGTTAAATTTATGTTGAGGTAGAGTCGGCAACAATTTATTGTCATATTTTAATAATTTCCTAAATAATTTTAATAATTTTCTATGAAAAGGATTTCTTTTAAAGTAAGAAATAAAATCGAAAAAACCTTGAGAATAAAATATATATTAAATTTACGTTGAGGTAGGGTCGGCAACAATTTATTGCCATATTTTAGTAATTTCCTAAATAATTTTAATAATTTTCTATGAAAAGGATTTCTTTTAAAGTAAGAAATAAAATCGAAAAAACCTTGAGAATAAAATATATATTAAATTTACGTTGAGGTAGGGTCGGCAACAATTTATTGCCATATTTTAGTAATTTCCTAAATAATTTTAATAATTTTCTATGAAAATGATTTCTTTTAAAGTAAGAAATAAAATCGAAAGAACCTTGAGAATAAAATATACATTAAATTTACGTTGAGGTAGGGTCGGCAACAATTTATTGCCATATTTTAGTAATTTCCTAAATAATTTTAATAATTTTCTATGAAAAGGATTTCTTTTAAAGTAAGAAATAAAATCGAAAGAACCTTGAGAATAAAATATATATTAAATTTACGTTGAGGTAGGGTCAGCAACAATTTATTGCCATATTTTAGTAATTTCCTAAATAATTTTAATAATTTTCTATGAAAAGGATTTCTTTTAAAGTAAGAAATAAAATCGAAAGAACCTTGAGAATAAAATATATATTAAATTTACGTTGAGGTAGGATCGGCAACAATTTATTGCCATATTTTAATAATTTCCTAAACAATGTTAATAATTTTCTATGAAAAAGATTTCTTTTAAAGAGTAAAAAATAAAATCGAAAGAACCTTGAGAATGAAATATATATTGTCGCGATAAAAATACTCAAATACGAGTAAGAAATCGCCTACGTAAAAAAGTAAATCGCATATAACGTTTATATGCAATTGTATATTGATACACATAATAAAATTTCACACACAATAAAATTTGTATGCTATTATATGTGTATCTGTTATTAAAATTATTATTGTTGAATCTTGATTAATCATTAATGACTATTACATTCTTTAAGAGATTTATATTATCGTTCTAATTTAATTCGTATCTTATCTATCTAGTGCTGAATTTATCAACAAGATCGTTCGAAAGTACCTGGAAAGACATCCTTGGTGTCGGGAGTGTAAGGATGGATCCAGCCGTTCCTCTGCTGTATGATGCACTGGAACATGGTGACGAATTTCGTGTGTTTTATCCGCGGTGCGAGGAAATTTCCTAAAGTACGTCGCCTCCTTTGAAACGAGACAGTTCCTTCTTATCGCATCCAACTATCACGAATGACGATGACGAAATCTGATCCAACGGCGATTAACGCGATCTCGAATATCGCGATCACAATAGCGAGATAAAAGACAAGTCTCGCATGTTAATCTTGCTTAATCTCACGCGGAACGCTTTTCGGGATCATCGTTTTCAAGATCTTCCTTCAAGAGTTTGCTTTAGAAGGATTGCATTCGTCTAAATTTGATTGCTGTAAATCATGATGGACCATCTTCTCATTTTCCTCGGGTCGAGCTTGTCTCAAAAATTTACGTCGAGAGAGAGGATGAATTTTCTTCCTGGCAACTAAAGTCCCATTGCCATATCGATCTTCCGATACAATGGACGAAAGGTCTCTCGTTATATCGTATATTACGTCACGCTCTTGACGAAAGGGGGCGGTCAGCGGTTATACCTTAAGCGCGTTATACCTTACGCGTATAAAGGTCGTATAATTCTATGGACGCAGCTCTGAGTCGTTGAACCGCACGACGGCGTTCCATCGAAGGCCACCGCCGTCGATGCCGCCGTCCCTAGGACGATCCTGTTTACGAGATGCCGCGAACCGCAACGGCGGTCCAGGCTCATCTTCCTTGCGCGCGAGTCCTCGGCTTCGCCTTTTATCTCCTCTCGTCCGATCGAATCGTCGATCTCCTCCTCGGAAAGAGTGGCTGCTGCCCTTGCGAATCTTTCCCTTCGGTCTCTCGGCGGTATATTCCGCTCTTTCCCCTTCCTCTTCGCCTCCCCCTCCCCTTTCTTTATCGTCTTCTCCGCAAATTGATTCCTCGATCAAACAATTTTCTCTTCTCCCTGCTCTTTCGCTTTTCCTTTGATGTCTATCGTTTGAATTATTCTTTGAATTAATTTGATAATTTTACCTCGTTCTTCAATAAATATTTCATTTTTTTTTTATCACCGCGGCGCTCTCGAGTCTACGAGGATCGAGCTAATTAGCGACAAAGTGGTATCTACTTATGTAATTCGATGTAACGCTTCGACTCTTAAATAGCCTAGTGAAGTATATTTATTATTTCATGTTTTTCTCGCGCAACATTTAATACATTTTTCATATCGGAAATTAATATTATTCATGAATAGCAGACTGAATTTTTTCCCTTCGTCGTTCGTGTAGCAGGGACGTGACTCCCGTCTATTTTCCTCTTGGCAAAGACCCTGCCTGTTGTTACGCACGTAATTTCGTTGCGATGAAAACGACGCCGGGCGCAGTTCCACCCGCTTTTATTACGGCAAGCCAGCCGAAGGACACCACCTGTGCGCGCAGCCCAGGGAGATGCGCCGGGATCACGTCCTTGGGAAACGCACTTGCCGCGGCCTCTTCCCCGTTCCTCTCTCACCGAAGGGAGAAAGAGCGCGAGGGCGTGATATTCGCAATTTCCCACACCGTCACGTCCAAGTGACATAGACGTAACGCCGCGCGAGATCAGAGGGATAACTCTCGGCGCGACGTCCTTCGGAAACTCGCACACCTACGCGACCAGGGCATATATCGGGCCGTCCCCCGTATTAGACGCACACGCGATGCTTCACACGACTGCTCCCGGGGACTGCCTTCGCGCTTTCCCGACTCTTCCGGAGTTCGCCGCGGAAACGACGCGCCGACAATGGTATCCGCGATCTCGATACCGGACGTTGGCGTCCCACGCGACCGACCGACGTCAAGGCAGGCTCTCCGGAGAGCAAGAGAGAGATCTTTTCTCTCGCGAGGAAGAGAAACGAGACGCGGAGCTCAGCGCCGTTCCCCTCGGCACGACGGTGTCGTCGCTCCTGCGACGGCGACGGCGACGGCCACGACGATGACGACGACGACGACGAGGAGAAGAGACCGGAGAGGAGGGTGGCTGGTCGGGTGGCTGGCTGGGATCGAACTAGATGGCTCGTCGCCAGGCAACCAGATTTTCCCTCTCGGTCTCTCGCGCGCGCGAGTGCGCTCTCTCCCCCTCCTTTCGCCCCCCTTCCTGGCCCGGTCAGCTCGCTCGCACGTTCGCCCCGACCTGCTCTCGCTCTTCTCTCTCTTTCGCTCTCTCGTTCGCTTCGCCGACTCTCCTCTACCCTCCCGCGCCCTGCTCCTGGTTCGCCCGCTCCCCCCGCTCCGCTCACCCCTCTCTCCCCCACGCGCACACACGACACACACACACACACACACACACAACGGGTACGACGCACCGGTTCCTACACCGCCTCACCGCTCGCTCACCCTCCGCATGCCGGAGGATGCTGCGGAGGATCTTCCTCCTCGAGATGCTGCACCGCGAACGCTTCACGGATGCTGCACGCGAGCGGAATGCCTCGCTTGATAACCGCGATTCTTTACACTTTCCGTACACTTAATTCCCCTTTATCAGGATTTATTCCTGGACCACGCGTTGCAAGTTTAATTTTGTAAAACTCTTTTTGTGTTTTATTTAACGATATTTCGCGTGCGACGAAAGGTATCAAATTCTCACCGACGAACCTTCCGCGTGACTCGTCGCGAAATGATACGCAGAAGCTACATACCGTAGTATGACTCTCCCCCCACTCTCGACGTACTCGGCTCCTCGCGATGCGATAAATATTTGTCGGGTCGTGTGATAAAGCAGATAAGATATATCGCATTTGTTATGTACACTTTAATTGCAATGTACGCGACAGAGTCTGTTGCCAAACAATCTCGCCGAAAAATTATCATGCTCGTTTGACTCTCGCCGACGAATCCCAGCAATCGCGAGATGAGATCCGATAAATGCTATTCTTCCTAAAATAATGATATTCCATTTTTCTATCCCAAGATTCAACACTTTCACGCAGCTGACGGCCTTATTAAAACTTAAGAATCATGATTTTTGTCGTCTTCTAGCTAATAAGGTCACGGGATTTCTCGATTCTCTCGACGTCGCTAATTGCTCCTTTAAGCTAATACTATCGCATGCCGGTTGTAGAGAAATCGCTTGCGATTCGCGCTTTGCAACGCGCCGACGACCGGCACTTTCTACGTTCCACTTGGAGGCGCGAGGGATTCCGCTTTTGGCGAGAAAAAACGTCGAATCGAGGAAACGTTGCTCGGAGAGAAACTCGGTGTCGGTCATCGAGCACGCAGTTTGCACTGTCCAGGTGCACGATGAGATGGACTCTCCCCGATTGTTCGTCATCTGCAGCGGAGAGCGGAAGAGGAACACAATATCGCGCCGCGTGAAAGAAAGAAGTTTATTATGTGCTCCGCGAACTGTGCCCCGGGAACAAACAGCGATCGATCGAAAAAGGGAAGTAATTTAACCGAAGTACAATAATGCAGACAATAATGGAGCAAATAATCGGAAAATAAAATAGAAAGAAAAAACAATATAACTTCCTGGGAGGAAATAATTTTGCTGGGACGATTAAATAAATAAAAAAAAGAAAGCTATCGGGAGTGATGATTAATAATAGAACATGGATTAATAATAATTTAATCTTTTAGAAAAATAAATTTTTCTAGAAGAATAAAATATCTTTTAAGCCATATGAAAAAGATACATTCACAGAAATTTAAATTACGATTATTTAATGCGCTCTGAGCAAAAAAATCAGAAAAAAAAACAAATAAAACAAATAATATATATAATAAATTATTGCTTGGTAACAGCACATCATAATCGAGCAAGCATCTATGAAGGCATTAACGCCGAAATTATGGAGAGAGGAAAACGTAGCGAGAGACCGAGACGAGGAAATCTGAGGATAGAGATGGCGATAGAGACGCGGAGGAATCAATGAGCGCTACTCCACGACCTCGCAGCGCTTCTGTCTCTTTCTCCTCGCCGTTCTCTCTCCTTCTTTCTCCCTCATTCACGCTCACCGAACGTTGCGCTCCCACCGTGCTCGCCCTATATCGAATGTCCAACCCTCGAAGCGTGACCGTGACTGTGACTCTCCGGACTGCGAGAGAGCGGAGTGCGCGTGTCCGCGCTGCATCGACGCCGCCACCGCGCCGTCGTCGTTGCATGTGTGCGATTACGATGTGTGTGCGATTCGCTGTCGACGCATCCACCGTAAAGAGACTTGCCCGCATGAATGAAGCCCGTATGACACCGTCGCGGAAATTAAGAATCACTATCAGGATTTATTATCGCCGCAGAAGCCTCTCAAAAACATTCAACTTTGAAATTAAAAAACTTTCCTCTCGGATAACGAATAAGAGAGAGAAAATACATTTCAAATCAAAGTAACTTTAAATCATAGGAATTCTTATATTCTGTATAAGTGATTAAAATAATTGCAATAACTAATACAACGAATTATGTAATAATTAGAGAATAATATAATAATTTTAATAAACATAATCAATATGTTAATATATATGTGTAATTTAATATATGTAATTTAATTGAAGAATTTGATAGAATTTAATATATATCTTATTCTCAAAAAGAACGGTGATTATTTTGATAATTAAAGATTTGATTAAAATGTACGAGAAAGAGTGCACATACAATATCCACTGACGGCTTAGATTTCAATAGAGATTAAAATTTCAATAGAGACTTTGATAGAGATTAAATTTTGAAAATTAAATAATATCGTTTTACGTATCTTTCAAAGCTCCTAGTTTAAGATTTAAATATTTTGAGAGGCTCGCAACGATATGGATTTCCGATTCTTTCTTATCTTTTCGTTCATGAATCTATCGGATCGTTAATCGTCGGCGTTTTTCACGTCATATCACACATCAATATGAGACTCGACTAACCCTTCCTTCGGCTTGGTCAACAAGTGCCGAGACCTTTCATCGGCCACTTGAGCAATACTCAGGGTCGTCTTACCGGGCTCGCTCTTCATGTTCCTCCCACCCAACAGACTCTCGACTTTGACCCTTAATTGCGTCGGTGCGAGAGATCCAAACGAAAGCCCGGCTCTTCTTATGCTATCAAGTTCACCCGCACGAATTGCATTTATATCGCACTTATTACGTTGTCTCGCACAGATGTTTCTCGGAGTTAGCAAATTAAAACGTGAGGTCCGACATGAATTTCGCTGATTAAAATAATAACTTCAAAAGTTGAAATTGATAAAAATACACAGAATTAGATTTTTTCGAATATTTCTCTTTGTATATAATCCTTTATACTAAAATAAAAATGCATAAAAATGAAAAAAGAAACAAATCAAGTTTATAGCCTGAACAAGTTTATAGCCTATTGAATTGAATTATTAAATATTGAATTGATTATTAAGATATACAAATTGAAATTTAAATTAAAACAATTTTAAACGAGAGAATTTTCTTTCATCTCGAATGCGATCCATTTATCCGCTCGTTACTACGCGTCAAATGCATGCACCATGTATGACGCTCTGCCAACCTTGACAAACTTGAATGTGAGATAAGATGAAACACAATGATCTAAAATTGCGGCGATATTCGCGGCATCTGTTGCGCAGCACGCGCTATTTCGAGGACATGATTAAATCTCCCTATTAGAACACAAGCGTTCAAAATTCAATAGGCGTCGTTCGCGGCTGTAAACTTCGGTCTTTGTTGCTCACGTCGGCCTACCCACGTGAGAGGTCGTGACGGCGTCGAGACCGGTTATTTCCGGCGTAGATTTCCGGACCGATTTTAGTTTTCGTGCACGCCCACGACAAACGCATCAGAGAGACGGAAGCACTCTTTTCGTTGAAGAGTTCTTCGCTATTCTAGTCGACCCTACTGATGATGATTCACGTGACTAAACATCATCTCTTTCTGGCTCATCGAGTGACGGAGCTTCGACTTTACCCACTCAAGCGATTCTGAAAACGTCGCAATTTATCTTCATTTCTCTTATGAATCTTTATTCTTTCTTTATCACGTATCTTGCAAATTTTTAACACATGTATTCGAAAGTTAGAGTCTCTAGATAAAAGTAGAAAGCTCTTCTTTTGCGTCAATTATATATTTCGGAAATATAAATGAATCTAATACACCTGTAGAAATTTATACAAATTATGAAATGAATTTAATTTTTTCCTTGTAAATTAAACTTCTTTAAAATGTTTTCGATATTTCCTAGACAAAGATCGTACATGTGAGTGACACATAAGAGTCTGAAATAAATCTGTACAAAAATTATTTTGGTGAATAAATTATCATAAGCAAGATGTGGAAGAGAGCGCGACGAGAGTTTATTAATAAATAAGATTATAAATACATACATTTTTTCCTCTGTGTCTGTCTAGTCAGCGCGGCAAAAGGGAAAAGTTCACAGTCGGCACTCTCGGCACTATTATCGACGACCTTTCGCGAAATTCACTTAGCCGAAGTACTTAGATTGCACGGCGAAACTTTCCTGTCGGTGCGGTGTAATTGCTTTAGTTTGAACAAGTTGTCGACGCGGTATCGTTGCAACGGGGACGACTTATCTCCCCTTATTATAGATTTTCGCGAGTAGCCGGTCGTCGCAAACGGACTCGAAAGCCAGATGTCATTAAAGACCACGCATTCTACGACTACGATTGCAATCTCTCGCGATTCAATTCGATGATTGTGTATCCGACGTTCTCCTCAACTCTTGTACTTTCACCCTGAAGTGTCGCGACGTTCGTATTGCAAACTTGTTTTCCCCAAAATGCAACTTTATAAGTGAGGTTTTTGAATAAATTCTACTGAAGGATAAATGGCAGATTGCATGATTGATACTTATATCTTATCTATAATTATATCATATCATTAATCAAAGATAATTTATACTGTTTTCAGAATAAATTGCAATTGCTATATAAAATTAATAATTTCCATTATCACGTTGCCTTTAATAATCATTTTGATTTTTACATATTTATTCAAGATTATTGAAAAAATAATCTTTATATATATACTTATTTTCTCAAAACATGACTGTTCCGTAGCTTAATGTACATCGTTCCGGTTATAATACAATTTCGGGCTATACTATTGGATCTCATTTTGATTGGCGATTTATCTCTATTAACGAGCGGTTCCGCCAATTATATTAAGCTTGATGCGCGCGTCTAGATCGAAATTTACGATTCAATAAGACGGTAGATAAGAGCTATTTAATCTAACGATAATACACAGATGCGAGCGCGATGTTTCTCTATGCGACGAGATGTCGG